AGTACCCGGTTAAAGTCCGTGGTCTAGCTTACTCACTATTGGATACTTCCTCGGCGATTTGGGGTATATGAGGGTCGGACTGAAATGATTATTTATGGTAATCGGTTTGGTGATATTTCCCGCGACGTATGGTTGGATATTGATTCTTAGCTACAGTACCCGGTTAAAGTCCGTGGTCTAGCTTACTCACTATTGGATACTTCCTCGGCGATTTGGGGTATATGAGGGTTGGACTGAAATGATTATTTATGGTAATCGGTTTGGTGATATTTCCCGCGACGTATGGTTGGATATTGATTCTTAGCTACAGTACCCGGTTAAAGTCCGTGGTCTAGCTTACTCACTATTGGATACTTCCTCGGCGATTTGGGGTATATGAGGGTTGGACTGAAATGATTATTTATGGTAATCGGTTTGGTGATATTTCCCGCGACGTATGGTTGGATATTGATTCTTAGCTACAGTACCCGGTTAGAGTCCGTGGTCCAGCTTACCTGTGATCTGGTTTTGGCTACAGTACCCGGTTAGAGTCCGTGGTCCAGCTTACCTGTGATCTGGTTTTGGCTACAGTACCCGGTTCGAGTCCGCGGTCCAGCCCACCCGTGCCCGACCTTTGGCTACAGCACCCGGTTCGAGTCCGTGGTCCAGCTTGCACGTGGTGTATTCCCAATTCCTCATTAAAGTTTCAGTTTAGTCTTGATTACTCTCATCTGTAGGTTGAGGTTTTGGAGGTTGAAGAGATTCCGGTTAAAGTCCGGGACGTAATGAGATCTTGGAATATGATTGGGAATGGTTCAGTTAAAAGTCCGGAATTGGTAATATTGTGATAGACCTTCTAGCTCCATTATTTTACTTTAACTGCCGATGCATCTGCCGGGCTTATGGGGGTCCGTGCAGGTGGTTTCTTTTATTGTGCACGAGCGTACCCGTCGGGTTTATGGGAGCCCGGCGGAGTTAGTTAGATTGCTTGTCTTTGTTGCCTGTACGCTCGTGTACATACCCCATTTACTACTCTTTTGCCCCTGATGTGACCCTTTATTTGCATTTCAGTTCACTTTTGCTTATCTTGCTCAGTCGGCCTATGATGCCTACTGGGTACCTGTTGTTTTGGTACTCATGCTACGCTCTACATCTATTTCGTGATGCAGGTCCGAGCACTAGTAGCCAGCGTTGATCGAGCTTGGAGTAGACTTATCCGGAGACGGGGTGAGCACACGGCGTTTTGTACTATTTCAGTCTCCATCTGTATATATATAGACTTGTCTTTTTCCTTTCGAGACAGTCCAGTCTCTGTTTGTCCAGTTTTTGGAACTTGTACTCATTTTGTAGTAGCTCTGTATTGGTGACTTCCAGGTTCTGGGAGGGATCTTTATTTGTATATATGTTTTGGGTTGCTACGGCCTATTTATGTTGTTATTTTCCTATTCTTGTTTAATTTCTACCCTCAGACTCATTACTTGTTGTTCCGGGTTACGGGTTGGCTTACCTGCTGGTGGGTTATAGTAGGTGCCATCATGACTTGATAACTCGGGTCGTGACATCCTCAATTCACATAATACTTGTGACAACCATGTTTCAGAACCAATGCAAATGACATGTTCACACAAATAATGAGGAGATGACCATTTTCATAAATAATAATGAACAATTCACAACGTCACAATCGTGATACAACATCAACAATGAATCAGTAACCCTTTCAAACCATTCTCAACACATCACATAGCAGTAATTAATCACATTGCCTCTTATAACCCCCTTTTTCATCATTAGAATTATTCAATACGGACAAGTCAACCCATCACAAAGTCTCATTACACCCCAACACATACCACAAGGAAATTCGCGATTCTATACATTTAACAAGGGTTGAGAAATCCTCTTGCCTCAAGTAATTGAACAATCACTCTGGGACTTGAGCCTTCCCCATTTGATGGGCTTGCAAATTATTGCAATCTATTCAAATAAATAATCATAGTAAAATTTCAAAACTAGCGATACCCATATTACTATATGTCTAGCCTAGATTCAAAAACCCACCAAAATCTATAATCAAGTTCCTAATCTTGATGCTAATTATATTTCCTAATTTCAAGCTTAGGGTTAAATCTCAATTCCTCCAAATGTCATAAATCTAATATTATTCATATAATACAATATGTCTAATAGTTAATTATCTATCTCAATATAGCAAAACTTGAATCATAATGTGATAAGCCTAAGAAATTTTTCGACGGAAATTTGGATTAGGCCGTCAAGATCCTTGTACCAGGAATTTAGCTTGCAAATTAGCCTAGTTTAAACAAAAATAAGCATCATAACAAATTATCCTAAGGATAGAGTTTTGGTTCATATTGTTGGGTTTTAAAGGTGTGAATAGGAAATGAAGGGTTGTGACTCTCCTGAAGGGTTGCGACTATGCCAAAGGGTTGTGACCTTTATGAAAGGTTGTGTCCTTTCTAAAGGGTTGTGACCGTTTGAAAGGTTGTGCCTTTTCCAAAGTGTTGTGACCTTTCTGAGAGGTTGTCTTCTTTCCTAAGAGTTGTGACCTTTACCCTTTGTAGGCTACAAATAGAGAGACTTTCTCTCATTTTTCTGCATCAAATTCTTCCCTTCTGTTGCATACATTCTTACAAAACAAAATCGATCGATCGTGTCTATGTGTGTGATTCGTTGCTATCATTTTGAGTTCGTTGGAATTATTGAAGTTTGAGGTACCGCTAACTTCTTTAATGGTTAATCCATTTTATCTTGGGAGGAATTAATCTGCAACCTCGGGGTACTTGAGGGGGATTAAAATTTCTTAAGGACACACAGTGGGGTTCTGTGGACTCGGATAGTTCTTTGTGTTTTTCTTTTCATCTTTTATTATTTCTGATTTGCTAATCTGAATACAAGAGATAAAAAGCTTAAGAAATTTAATGCTAGTATTTTCTTTGGTAAGGATATTACTTCTATTTTATGTGTTCTTTTTATTGGGGAAAGAAAATGAAGAAAAAGAGAGTTATTTTATCATATGATAAAAGACATTTGGGATGAATTAGTACTACTTTAATATGTTCGAGTATATTTTTTGTAGTAAGTTTTCCTTGGATGGGTAGGATTATTTTTATTTTATTTTCAAGTGCATTCAAGCATTACACCCCTTCAGTTTTCTTTTCAATGAGAAAAGCTATTTTGTGCATAAAGGCTAAGATGAGCACTTTAATTTTTTCCTTATATTCTTGGTTTTATATAACTAGGTAAAGAAGTAAATGAACAAATGTTGTCTTCTAACAATATTTGAACATCAGTTTAGTTTCTTGTTGAAATTAAATGTCTTCTTGAGGAAAATATGAATATGATGGAAACTGAGAAAAGGAAAAAAAAAATTAGCTAGAAAAGTGACTTTCATGGATTATTGTTGACATATAGAATATGATTTAATGAGAATAATCAGGTTCTATCTTTATTTCCCTTGATTATTATTTTCTTTTTCTATCCTTTATAAGATATGAAATTTATTTCATAAATGTTAGGATAGAGTCATTATGTGATTATCTTAGAATATGTCTTTATTATTATTAATATATATTCTGTTTAGAGGGAAAAAACTTTTGTAGTTTTTTACTCAATGTGAAATTTGATTGTGTTTGACTTTTGGAGATTTTTTTTTACCCCGTTGATTTGAAGAATATAAGAACTTCACGAACAAATCAGATTGTGCATTGGTTTGAAGAATATAGAAACTTCACCAATTTTATAAATACTCTGTTTGAATGAATATTCTAACTTGAAGAGTACAAAATCTTCGTCAGGAATATTAAGCCTAAATGATTGAAAAAGATAAAATCTTCATTGTTAGCTCAAAATAGTGTTGTATTTGAGGTTTCTGGAGATTAAAACCTTTTTGGTTTACTACTATGTCTGAATGTGAAACTGATTCGAAGAATATTAAAACTTCGTCAGAATTAAAGGTTCATTCGGTTAACGATCAGAAGAATATAAAAACTTCATCGTTAAACTAGAAACAAGTTGTATAAAGATTGAATCTTTATTGTTAGTATTCTAAATACTAAGTGGTTTGTCTAGTTGTGACAAAAAGGGAAAAAAACAACTAGTGACATAAAATTAGTGATTTTTGTGCCTGCAATAGGTATTTATATGGATTAAATCTCCAAAAGAAGGCTTCATGTTGCCAATGTGTATTTTGATGGTATACAATATGAAAGCATGGGAAAAATATGTGGAAAATAAAAGGCAAGACTTATTGTCATAGGCTTTAGACAATAAGAAACGCCTTGTTTGACACATAATAGCCACTAACTAGAATTACATCAATTCAAATGTTAATTACGCTAGTTGCGGTATATGGCCTTCAAATTCATCAAAATGGATGTGAAAACATTTTTTTACATGGAGAATTGGAGGAAGAAATTTACATGGAACAACCCGAGGGTTTTGTGGTTCCTGGTAAAGAAAGGAAAGTCTGTAAACTTGTTAAGACACTTTGTGGACTAAAAACAAGCGCTCAAATAATGACATGCGAAGTTTGACCAAACTATGTTGGCAAATGAATTATTCAACATTAATGAATGTGATAAATGTTTTTACATTAAAGACACTCCAAATCACAAGGTCATTGTTTATTATTATGTTGATGGCACGTTGATCATCAAAAGAGACATTTCTAACATAAATGCTACTAAGCATATGCTAGAAAGTAACTTCGATATGTAATACATTGAAGTTACTGATGTGATTGAAAAGGTACTTGACAAGTTCAAGCATTTGAATTTCAATATTGTCAAGACTCCAATAAATGTGATATTTGTACTTCAAAAGAATGAAGTTAAAAGTGATTCACAATTGGATTGTGCTAGAGTATTGAGAAGTATGCTATATATCATGAAGTGTACGCGATCAGATATAGCATATGCTATTAATTAATAAACTAAGTCGGTTCATGAGTAATCTCAATCAAACTCATTGGATGACAATGAAAAGAGTTTGGGAGTATTTAAAACATACTTTAAAAACTATTGCTTTGCATTATAACTAATATTCAACAGTATTGGAAGAATATAGTGATGCAAATTGAATCACTAGGTCAAATAAACTAAAATCCACGAGTGGATATGTATTTACTCTCGGTGGAGGAGTAGTCTCTTGGAAATCTTCCAAACAGAGATGTATCGCTTGCTCTACTATGAAATCTGAGTTTATCACTCTAGATAAGGCCGGGTGAAGAAGTTGAATGAGTCCAAAATTTCTTGAAAGATTTTTTGCCCAAACTTTTTAGCTCTAGTATGCATACACTGAGACAGTTAAATTTGCAATAGGTAGGGCATGGAGAGCATGATGTATAACGGAAAGTATCGTCATATATGATGTACACATAATATCGTTAGAGAACTACTCTCTAGTGGAATTATCATAATTGACTATGTAAAGTCAAAGGAAAATGTGACGGATCCACTTATAAAAGGCCTAACTAGAGAGGAAGTTGACAGATTATCCAAGGGAATGAGACTATGGCCGAGGACAAGTCATTGTGCCAGTAACTCTACCTAGAAGACTGGAGATCCCAAGATCTAGGTTCAAGGAGATCAAACAAAGTCATTGATGACGGTTCAACATTGTCAAAATAATTTTTTTATGGTCTATTCTCATGATAAGACAATGTTCAATAACAAGGATAAAGGCATTAGGACTTTTTACTAGTTTCTAAGTTTGATACATGGTATATCAAATGGTGTATCTACGGGATAACACATTTAGAAATCACCTATGTAAGTGTGAAGTGTAAGCCGCTTCAAGGAGAATCCGGTAAGGCCAGTTCTCTACGCACTTATAAACCAAGACATGTTCATGGCTGAAACGAACAAAACAATGAGAACCAAAAACAGTTCAAGGGTTGATTGTGTGACTAATGTTTTCTAGGTATACCCCAAAGCTCGACGGTTCATAGAAATCACATCTACCAATTGACCGAGTATATCCGAAATATGTTCACTATGGAAATTTCAAAGGGAAACCCACTTATCCAGATGCAATCAATCCTTACTTATGAATCACACAGTATTTCATGCATATGTTTAAACAATAGCCATTCCCTATTATGTGGGGGATTGTTGGGTTTTAAAGGTGTGAACAGGAAATGAAGGGTTGTGACTCTCCTGAATGGTTGTGACCTTTATGAAAGGTTGTGTCCTTTCTAAAGGGTTGT